GACTACCTCCTTACGCCCACCTTGTGACCATGTCATTGTTTGAGGAACTCATCAGGACTAACTGGTTATACCTATGTTCTTATCCTGTAGCCCCGATTTTGCCTGCCAAATTCCCCATGTGGAAACCCCCTACCCCTGAGCTATAAAAGCATTGTCTTTCTCACATCCAATGCTGACCTCTCAAATCCCACCTTAGCGGGAGACAGCCCGTGTTCAGGAATAAAAAAATTTGCTTTAACTAATTGCTTGTTTTAATTAATGTGGCCATGGTGATTTGAGTTGGTCATCTTTTCCTCCCAGCTTTGGACTTAACATTGACAGTATTCATTGGCTGGAGTCTAACCTCTCAGTCTTTCAAGACTGGCCAATTTTAAAGCATCTGCTGCAGAAAAAAATGGAGGAAAGGAGAAAGGTGTCACTTGCTCCAGACATCCAGTTCCTGGAATGCATGATGCCTGTGAGTAAAGGAAGGTTTACTGGGTGGGGGATTAAAATATTTGCATAAATGTTGTATAAGGTGGGGGGGGGGAGATGAAATAATTTGGATTTCTTGTTTTAAACACAGTTTTATAGTATTTGATAGAAAAGACTCGTCTTTAATATTTTGTGCAAGTGGAAGGCAAGAACCGGTTCCCAAATGTCCTCTGGCTTTCACATGCACAGCCTTACTCTTGCACAAACATACACACACGATCTTTTTTTTTTTTTTAAACAGTTTCAGCTGTGGTTTTATTTGCTCACTTAACATCACAAATAAATGACATCAAATTTCACACAGTTGCTTTTACTTAAAATTCAAATGCTTTGCGCATTTTTTGAAGTTGCCAATTGGCACTTTTTCCTCCGGGGATTGCTACTGCATTTTCTAAATACACTGATGGGGACCACGGTGAAGCAGGCTGCTGCAAAGCAGGACAGTCTCTTAAGATGGGTTTGTGAAAGGATAGTGATTGACAAAGAATACATCCCCAGGTTTTACCCAATAGTCAAAAAGGATGTTAGGTTGAACACAGAGGTGGGGAATGAGTGGCTGTTAAGGATACTAAAGACAGCTCAAGATAATTTGGATTGGGATCTGAAACATTGTAATTCTCCTCAATCATGAGGGTTTACAGGTGGAGCCTTTTTTTTAAATGCAGAGTTTTACAGAACCATGTGTTGGGTCCTCTTGTTCTCACAATAAAATATTTCATCCTAGAAACATGAGTTTCTGAGTTTCCTTTTTCACATGTAACTTTCTTTTTTTTTTTTTTTTTTTTTTTTTTGAGGCAAAGTCTCACTTTGTAGCCTGGCCTCTGTCCTGCCTCTGCCTCCTGAGTGCTAAGACTAAAGGTATATGCCACCGTGCCTAGCTGTAACTTTATTTTCTTGAAACCTAGACATTGTCAGTTTGAGAAGAAATTCACTGAATCCACAGTGCTCTTGCCTTTAAATTCTGAAGTAGGTAGTACATTCACAAGATTGCTTAAATTTCTTTTTCCAATCTACAATCCTAATTCTCCCCAAGTAAGTGTAATTTTTTGTTGTTGTTGTTGTAAAAAAGATTAGATGATGGTTTGTGAGCTTTGTTTTAATTCTTTTTTATTCTTTTTTTTTTTTTTTTTTTTTTTTGGTTTTTCGAGACAGGGTTTCTCTGTGTAGCTTTGCGCCTTTCCTGGAACTCACTTGGTAGCCCAGGCTGGCCTCAAACTCACAGAGATCCGCCTGGCTCTGCCTCCCGAGTGCTGGGATTAAAGGCATGCGCCACCACCACCCGGCTCTTTTTTATTCTTAATTAAAATAATAATAAAAAATCTGGGAGAAACATGAACCACTGAGAATGAAATCAAATGCCTGAAGTTGTCGTGGCCCTTGTTTACAGCTCAAAAAAAAAAGGACTAGTAGGATTAAGGGACTATGGTTCTGCCTCTCTTTGAGATAACTGGTGAAATTTTTTTTTTTTTTGAGACAGGGTTTCTCTGTGTAACAGTCTTAGTTGTTCTGGAACTTACTTTGTACGCCAGGCTGACCTCGAACTCACAAACTACAAACTCTCAGAGATCTATCTGCCTCTGCTTCCCAAGTGCTAGGATTAAAGGCTTGCACCACCACTGCCCAGCTTACGGTTTTTGTTCGTTTGTTTGATTGCTTGCTTATTTGTTCTTGTTTTTGTTGTTGTTTTTTTCGAGACAGGGTTTCTCTATAACCTTGACTGTCTTGGAACTCACTCTGTAGACCAGGCTGGCCTTGAACTCACAGAGATCCACCTGCCTGTGCCTCTGGAGTGCTGGGATTAAAGGCATTCGCCACCACTGCCCAACTTGGTTTTTAAGATGGGGTCTCCTGTAGCCCAGGCTGACCTCAATCTGACAATATAGCCAAGACTTACCTTCTATGTTCTTTTCTCTGCCAGTTAAAGAATTAAAAGGCATAAGCAGCTGGGCAGTGGTGGTGCACGCCTTTAATCCCAGCACTCTGGAGGCAGAGGCAGGCGGATCTCTGTGAGTTCAAGGCCAGCCTGGGCTACAGAGTGAGTACCAGGAAAGGCGTAAAACTATACAGAGAAACAATGTCTCGAAAAACCAAAAAAAAAAAAAAAAAAAGGCATAAGCAGCAGAAGAGGAAAGGCTTTTATTAGGATGAGGAAGCACACAGGGCACATAGAAAGACCCTTTGCAAAGCTCAGGGTGCACTCAGGAATCACAAACCCGGTCTTTCTTTGAAGACTGGGTAGTTGTTTGAGACAGGATCTCACTATATAGCCAAGGGTGGCCTGGAACTCACTATATAGGTCATGCTGGCATCCAAACTCACAGAGACATGCCTGCCTCTGGGTCCTGGGATTAAAGGTTTGGACCACTGTGGCCATACCAGCAACATAGGCAGAAGGCTTTAAGGATCTTGAAGGGGTCTTGTAGCTGGAGTTCTCTCCAGTCCTGCCCAGCTCCATGGACCCCACAACCACTTATAAAATAATCACTCAGAAGCTCATATTAATTAAACTGCTCGGCCATTAGCTCAGGCCTACCACTGTCTAGCTCTTACACTTAAACTCAGCCCATTTCTATTAATCTATACCTTGCCATGTAGCTCATGGCTTACCGGTAACTTACATCTTGCTACTCATCGAGGCGGCTGGCAGCATCTCCTGACTCAGCCTTCTTTCACCCAACATTCTCCTCTCTTCTTGTCCCGCCTACACTATCCTTCCTGCTTGACTACTGGCCAATCAGCATTTTATTTATCAATCAATCATAGCAACATATATTCACAGCATACAGGACATCCCACAGCAGGGTCTCCCTCCCTAATTTATGCTTTGTCAGTTTGAACAATAGCAGGGAGGCTGATAGGCCCAGAAAAGGATCACAACTTTTAGGCAAACATGTCCTTATCTGGCCTTGAATTTGTCAGGCTGGTCTGTAGACTGGGGCTCCTACTGCCGGAGAATAAGCCCACCATGGCCTTTCTTTTAAGCTGCCAGAATTTTGTTTCAATTCAGGAGGGTGAAAAAGATACCAGAAGTTAGCCATCTTTTTTGTTTGTCTTTGTTTTTGTTTTTTAAATAATTTATTTAAGTTTATCTTATGTGCATTGGTGTGAAGGTATCAGATCCCCTGGAATTGGAGTTACAGACAGTTGTGAGCTGCCATGTGGGTGCTGGGAATTGAACTCAGGTCCTCTGGATGAGCAGCCAGTGCTCTTAATCTCTGAGCCATCTCTCCAACCCCTTGTCTTTGTTTTTTTGTTTCTTTACTTTTTTTGGGTTTTGTTTGTTTGTTTTTGAGACAGGGTTTCTCTGTGTAGCCTTGGCTGTTCTGGAACTTACTCTGTAGATCAGGCTGGCCTTGAACTCAGAGATCCACCTGCCTCTGCCTCTGGATTATTGGCATTAAAGGCATGTGCCACCATTCCCCTGCTGAAATTTGCCACCTTAATATCTATTTGTAGGTTCTCTTCCTATCTGTCTACCTATCGGGGACTGTAACTCCTAGTCCCACAGAAGGATGACCATGAACTTCCTGATCTACCCACCTCCACCTCAAAGCGCTAGGATTTGAGGCCTGTGGCACCACATGCCAACACAACTGATAAAACTGAAAAATAACTTACATACTCATACAAGTTTAGGTAACCCGTTCTGTAATCGATGGCAGAAATGTATTTTCAGCAACTATCCGTGCTCTTTTCAACTTTCCAACATGAGTCATTCAGTTAATTTAAAGCAGTAATAAATAGATAGATACATAGATAGATAGATAGATAGATAGATAGATAGATAGATAGATAGATAGATAATTTTAAAAACTTGAAGGAATTGAGACTAAGTCTCACTGTACTGTATGTAGCGTTGGCTGATCTGGAGCTCACTTTGTAGACCAGATTATCTTCAAACACATACAGATCTTCTTCCTGCCTCTGCTTCCTGAGTAGCTGGGATTAAAGCTATTTGCCACCACGTCTGGCTAAAATTTTAATTTTTAAAAAATGTGTATAGGTGTTTTGCCCGCACCATCAGTGTGCAGTGCGTGCAAGGTCACAAGAGGGCGTTGGGTTTACTGGAACTGAAGTTACAATACATTGTGAGCTGCCATGTGGGTGTGAACTGAACCCGGTCCTCTAAAAGTGCAGCCAGTGTTCTTAACAGCTAAGCCATCTCTCCAGCACACCCACCCACTTTTTAAAATAAGGTTTGTCTATGTAACCCAGGTTGGCCTTGAATTGGTGCAATCGTCCTGCCTCAGCCTCTCGGGTGCTTAGTTCGTTTGCTAGGGCCACCACAACAGTTTAAGTTGGTTCTCTTTGCGTCCCCAGACACCTGTCTTTGGAACTCTATCAACACCAACCACTGCCACACGCTAGAACAGTCTCCCAGCAAGGCGGAGCACGCGGCCGGTCTCCTAGCAACCGGACCGCGTCCCTCCCCGGGTAGCAGCTCAGGACCCGGCCGGCAGCGCCCAGCATGCCCTGCGGCTCGGCGCGCACTACGCGTCCCACAATGCTTCACGGCCCCGCCCCACTCCCGCGGAGACCCCGCCGGGCGGCAGCGCGACCCCTGCCCGCCGCCCGCAGCCTGGCGGGCTGCGCAGGCCGGGCGCCATGCGGAAGGGCGAGCGCAGAGTCGCCGGAGGCTCGGAGTCCGGGTCTCCGCTGCTCGAGGGCCGCCGCAGCACCGAGTCCGAGGTCTACGACGATGGCACCAACACCTTCTTTTGGTGAGGGGCTCCCCGCGTCCCGGTCCGGGCTTGGGACAGGCGGTTTGGGTTGGAGTCGGGGACCGTCAAGGCCAGGATCGGTCGGGGGAGCGGCGCACCGGGGCTCAGAGGCCGGCAAGCCGGTGGAACACCCCCCCCCTCCCGCCCCCGTGGTCGTCTGCGTGTGAGATGGCGAGTGTTTTTCGGGTCGGGGGAGCCCCGGAATGAGCTCTGGAAGGCCTCGCCACCACACATTAGTAACATGCAGGCTTCCCCTCCGTTGGACAGTTGGCGTCCCCTGCTCCTCCCCGGTGGCATTGCCCTAAACTGGCCTGATGGGTATGGCATGTCTGTGTGCTAGGTTTTGCTCATTGCTACCTTTTTCAGTGACTCTGGCCTGCACAGCTCAGCCCCTGACAAGTTTTGGAGTCAGGCTGCCTCCTCTGCCTTTAGTTTGAGTGAGTGCCTAGGAATTGCAGGTGCTTTGCTCCTTTAAAGGGCCATGTCACCGCCCTGGCTGACCAGCCAAATGTGTGATCCCATGACCTTGGACTAACCCTTCACCTTTCCTCATTTGTGAGAAACGACAAAACTCATAAACCAGAGAGCATGCTTCATGAGAGGAATGGTTTTGCCGTGTGTGTGTGTGTGTGTGTGTGTGTGTGTGTGTGTGTGTGTGTTTCGAGACAGGGTTTTTCTGTTGTGATAGTTCTTGCTGTCTGAGAACTCACTCTGGAGACCAGGCTGACCTCGAACTCATAGAGATCCACCTGCCTCTGCCTCCTGAGTACTGGGATTAAAGGTTGCACCATCATTGCCCAGAAGCTTTACCGGTCTTTACTTCAGATGGCTGTTTCCACCCACCTATGCAATACTGGGTGGGTCCTGTAGATAAGTGGGACCCAAGTGCAGAGAGACAAATGCATACCCACTGGGGATACTAAGTGGAAGTAGCTTTGAGAGAACAGCAGTAGCAGTGCTGAGAGCACATTTAATCAGAGTGAGAGAAGCCTGGCCGAAAGTGATTGGATAATTCAGAAGATGCCATTACACAGATAGGATTCTCTGAGGGACTCTGGCTTGTATCTCTGGCTTGCAAGAGGGAGTGGTAGCTGAGGCTCTGGTGAGATACAGTTGAAGTAGCAGGAAAGTGGGTGGGTGTAGGAGATAGCTTTGCATCTTATATTAGTAGCGCTTTCTCCGGGTTATGGACAGCTTCTGCAAGGGGTCCAACCAGTACTTCTTTTCAATATGATGCCCTCTGGTGACTGCGAAAACATTAGAAGGGAAAGAAGCAATTCCAGCACTCGGGAGGCAGAGGCAGGTGAATCTCTGTGAGTTTGAGGCCAGCCTGGTCTACACAGTGAGTTCTGGGACAGCCAGAACTACATAGTGAAATCCAGGGTGGAGGGTGGGGAAGAGAAAGCATGGGGCAACTGAAGTTGTGAGTATGGGGCCAGAGCTAGTGCCAATGGATTTCTCTGACCGTTGAGGTCCTTTGGACATTGAAATGACCCAGAAGAAGTCAGGCTGTCCTGACCTCAGGACTGACCCCATACCTCATCCTGCTTGACAGGACATGTGGTTTCTAATCCCATAACTGACCCCATACCATCTCCTTCACATCCTGCCTGACAGGACAAAGGATTCCTCTTCCCTTTCAGGGAAATGATTCCTGTAAAATCCCTGGCCCACACCTGATTCTTGTTTTTATAAACTCTGGCTTGCCTTCAGGGCCAAGAGTTCTTTGTGGCAGGAGCCTACTTTTGGTCCCCTGCTTAAATAAAGGACTCTAATTGGCCTTATATTCATGATGGACTATACATTACTCAAGTGGATATTTCAACATCATTCTCTGTCAGGTAGCCCCCACCATGCCTCTTCGGCAGGAGGGAGGCACCACCCTCCCCCATTATCGTTGATGGCCACTGGAGAAAGAATCCTGGAGTGGGCAGCTGGCTTACCTTTCTTGTTTTATATTCATTTATTCATCCAGTCATTCTTCAGTGTGTATTTTGGAGACCTCTACCGAGTGCCATTACTATCTTAGGAGATATGTCAGGAAACTAAACAGGGGCTCAGACGCTAGCACAGTCCTGGAGCTTTATTTAGAATGTGTTCTGATGTCCTGTCTGTATCTGTACCATGTATGTGTGCAGTGCCCCTGGAAGCCAGAAGAGGGCGTTGGATCTGATAGTTAGTCCTTGGGACTAATAGTTCCAGACTGATGGGGTGCTGTATGGGTGTTAGGGATCCAATCTGGATCCTCTGGAAGAGTGGCTGGTGTGGTTGTTTATTTGTTTGTTTGTTTTGTTTGTTTTTTGAGACAGGGTTTCTTTGTGTAACAGTCCTGACTGTCCTAGAACTCACTTTGTAGACCAGGACTCACTGAGATCCACCTGCCTCTGCCTCCCAAGTGCTGGGATTAAAGGCGTGTGCCATCACCGCCCGGCACAGCTAGTGTTCTTAACCTCAGGGCCATCTCTCCAGACCCCCAGTGTCACTTTCTAACCTACTCCCACCAGCATGGAATCTGTGACAATTTGAGAATTGGTAGTCTATGCTTGAATCTTAGAGCTTGGGACCTCTGGTGAACCTTCTAAGTGAGTTGAGGCAGATATCACCAGTGCATCCTCAATAGTTCTGTACTTCTGCAGCTTCAGGTGTGTGTGGATAATCACTGTGGACTAGGGCTTGCCGAGGTTTGCCCACATCTAGCAAACATGATTTGACAACTCATACCTGTTTACCTATCAGGTCAGCAGGCCAGGAAGGCCAGTGTAAGAGGCTAGGAGCCTCTTGCAGACCTGGGGCGAGCCTTCTCCCTTTCTTGGCAACACCCTCATGTTTCCCTGGTTGGTTCTGGCAGGGCTGCCTTCCTTCCCACTCAGCATGGGGAGCATGGTCATCTCTAGGGAGGAACAACAACTGGGTATTTTCCACTCATAGCAAGGAACCAGTTTGTCCTCGTGCTTGCCCCATGCAGTGACTGAAGTCCCAAGATTTACATAGGTCAGCTCTCATCCTGGGCCTAGTCATGGGACCCAGACCCTCCCAGTGTCTGCCCACACTAGGGAGGAGGAAGCACACCATTGCACAAAGCTGACATTCTGGAAGGGGAAAGATGACCTGCCTTTGGAATCTGTTATGCACATGTGTGTGCGTGTGTGTGTGTGTGTGTGTGTGTGTGGTGAGCTAGACAGGGTGCAGCAAGGTAGAGCTTGCTCTTTAGCGATCATTGACTGATACATTCTGAAGTCTACCTGCTGTGAGTTTGTCTGGCTGATGCCCTTGCCTCTGGATCCCCCTTCCTGCTGCTTTACTTTTCCCAGGTCAGGGGAGGCCAGGTACTTGGTGACTATGTGAACGATAGGGCAAACAGTTACCTCAGGGGAAAGGTGTTCTTTCTTTTTCAGATATTCCTGGTATATTTAAGAGAAGTTAGAGATAGTACTCCCGGCCAGGCGGTGGTGGCCCACACTTTTAATCCCAGCACTTGGGAGGCAGAGGCAGGTAGATCTCTGTAAGTTGGAGGCTAGCCTGGTCTATAGAGTAAGTTCCAGGACAGCCAGGGCTACACAGAGAAGCCCTGTCTTGAAAAACCAAAAAAAAAAAAAAAGAAAGAAAGAAAGAAAGGAAGAAAAGAAAAGTCAAGGATGCCCTCAGCTTACTGGCTACTTCAAAAACTATGGGAAGATCAGTGTACTAGTAAAAAATAACAGTAAAGGAACCAAGTAACCAAGGAGCTGGAGTAATTTTTTAAGCTCTATGGAAAAGAGCTGGGGATTGTACCTCAGTGGTAGAGTACTTGTCTGCCATATGTAAGGCCATAGGCCCACTCCTCAGAACTAGAGGAAAATGGGGAAAGCCTTCCATGTTTAACTTGTGTTGGTTATGTGATCCTGTCTACCTGTGCTGTAGGCAGTACATCCCAACCCCTCTGGTACCCATGGGAATGGTCAGTCAGCTCGGGAGTGCAGGTCAGACCCTCTGCTGTGCTGGGTGAGTGGGTATGGCGAGTCCTTGGTAACCTCTGCTCTGACACTACCTGTGTGCTTTGGATTCAGGCGTGCCCACACCTTAACTGTGCTGTTCATCCTCACCTGTGCACTGGGCTATGTGACTCTCCTGGAAGAAACACCTCAGGATACAGCCTACAACACTAAGAGGTAACTGCTTATGTGCGGAGGGTGTGGTGCTCTGTGGTGCTCTGGCCAGCCCAGGATCTGAATTCTCCTTGTACGTCAAAGTGACTAGCTTCTGCACCTTCCCTTGGCACTGTGTAGTAGTTCTTGCCCAGGACCCTACTTTGAAGTAATAGGGTGTTTTGCAGCAGCCTTCGGGGTGATTCCCCCTAGCTGGTGTGCATCTATGGTGGTGTTGATGCCAGCACTTTCTAAATATTTAAACAAACTGCGTAAGAGGCCAGGTGGACAGTCCATGACCACCTGTGACCATGCTTCTCAAGGTTCTCCAGAGCAGCAGGTCACAGGCACTGTTCTGAGGCCAGTGCCCAGCATACAGAGTACTGACAGGCTTTCCTATTGCTCCTCTAGTTCTCTAGCCTGTGTATCTGCCCTGGAATGCTGCCTGGCAAGACAGGTCCTTCTTGCTCTGGGAGGGCTAGAGAGGAGACCAGAGAGGATTTAGTAGGCAGAGGCACAGGGAGATGTCAGAAGTCTGTTAAGATTTCAGTGCCACCTTAGTTGTTTGCCCTCCAGACTTTTGGAACCTCCATGGTCCTGACACTTGTAGGCCAAAATTTTGTTTTTGGAAAATGGAAGTCTTAGTACTTTGCTATAAGAATTGAGTGGGGTAGGGCTGGAGCAATGGCTCAGAGGTTAAGAGCACTGACTGCTCCTCCAGAGGTCCTGAGTTCAATTCCCAGCAACCACATGTTGGCTCAC